ACAGAGATATGGGGGTTCTCTAAATGGGGTGAGGGAGTTAGAACAACCCCAGATGGACCACAAACAGGCAATCTATAATGAAGCATCAGCAAATTATGTATTCAGATAGAATACAGAGATATATTATGAAGTGAGCAAGGATACTAAATTCATATGGTGGGACAAGCGTTGGAGGTCTTAACTGCCCTATGGAGTGTGGACATTATTCTGAAGGCAAATGGAAATGTCCATTTCTGAACAGATCCTCTAATCATAAATCTGAGTTATGTGAAGCCACTGTGGGCTGATAGAGGGGTTGTCACTCACCCAAGCACTCTACTCACCAGGGGGTCACTGATTATCTCCCTCCAGAGGTGACACACCAAGCTCAGATTCCAATAGAGGTCTTCCACAGGGAGGAAGGCAAAGATGTGCCTCAGGACTTCACTAGGCAGGCTACAAATGTGGCTTGGTGCTTTTTGGCAGGGCAAGGTCCCAAGAAGCCCATAGTATGAATCAGGAATGGGCTCAGGACCAATGTCCTCAATGTCTTGGCCAGTTTCTCCAGAATCCACACAGCCCAGTGACAGACAGTCCTCTGCTTCTTGCCTAGTTTCCCTAGGCTTTGTGCAAGACAGGGACAAATGATGCCGTAGGGTTTTCTTAGTAAATCCATCCCACTGGCTGGTATCTGTAGCTTTATCTCTCTCTTCCTCAAAGGACCGAGACCGCTTCCTGGGGGGCAGAGAAGACCCCGATGAGTCTAATCTTACTTCTCCATCACCTTCCTGAGGCAGGGCGCAACTGCTCTCTGCAGGAATGATCATGTCACCCTCGGAGTCCTGACAACTGTCTTGGCAGACAGAACTGCTCTTGGCCATGTCATTGGTACACTGCTGCTGGCCAGCTAGGAAGAACTCAGGGATGTATTTTTGACATCCTTGACCTGTAGAGAACCCAAACAGAATGGACAAAACACAATCACTGACTGTTGACCTCACTCTTAATTATCTATGTTAAAAGAGGAAAGAGTCAGATACGTTTATGAGTCAGGTGGTTATGCAAACAGCTAATCAAAAGTAACCAGACATATTTTTAGAAAGAGATAAAGACTGGTCTTTCGGTGGTGTTATGGCCTACATTACATCCTACAACATGTATAAGAACAAGGTTAAATGCTGCATGTTGGACACCCGAATGGACAGAAAGGACATGACTGCTCACAAGCACATTCACACATCCACTCACACTACACGCCTCTCCTTGTTTGCTCCTACAACTGGAAGTCTAAGCTTGCTTAAGTAGAAAGAACATGCTTTAAGCTATCAGGTTCAAAAATCCCACTCCTCGTTTGACAAGAATTAAGGTCCTTTTAATTTATTCTTACTTCCCCCTGTGGTGATGACACATTAAAGAGGGAGTCAAAATTATTTTCCTATTATTAGAGTGGTACTTAATCTTTTTAACACATTTATTCAATCAGCATTTACTAAGTACCTTTAATTTTGAAATAAATAAAGTGATATTCCCTGACCCCACAGACCTTTCAGGCATCTAGGGAAACCCAAACAGTGATTTCACACATCATCACGGCATTTTCTAAATTCTAAAAGTTATTTTTAAATGCCAATAAAGTGAACACCTTATCAATATATAATATACGTGGTTTCTTTCTAAATGACTATTAACAAAATTTCTTACTTTGGAAAATAAAAGAATGGACTAAAACTTGGTTTAGCCTTTAAATGAATTTATGGATTGAAATTAATATTTCTTTCAATTCTTTTTTTGTGTGTGGGGGGGTGGTAGGTATTGGGGTTTGAACTTAGGGCCTCATGTTTGCTAGGCAGGTACTCTACCACTTAAGCCTCTCCACCAGCCCAAAATTTCTTTCATATTAGGGAAAAAAACAATTATAACTGCTTCTAGGGCAATGTGACTCAAACCCATAGTTTTAAAGCCAATAAAGCCTGGTTAAATCCTGACATTTCCTAATTGTTAAAGGTAGTCACATCAATAGTCAAGATCCTACTTCGTGCTCAGTGCCATGCTCAGAGTCCTGGAGAACTCACCACACAGACCAGAAGTTGACATATACACAAAACAAACTAAGTATCAGATAGTATGTAATTAAGTTGAAAACTATATAATTGATTACAGTAGTACCAAAAGTGAGAAACAATGTTTAACAAAAACTAGGTTAGTATTTAAATTTGATTCTGAAATAAAATGTATCAAAGAGAAAAAAGGCAATCTAGATTATACTAGCAGGTATTAGAAAA